CCGATTGGAATCACTAATTCAAGGTTCAAATGAATATTAATTTATAGGGTGAACGATCACACCACCAAACCAAATGTTTGAACCAATGGTTTAAAAACGGATTGGTGATCTGGATCGGGCATCTCAAAAACCGATCAGGATCGGCGAATCAGCGATTCGGATCGGGAATCGGGCCGAATCGCTCTGATTAAGCCTTAAAAAAATTTAAAAAAATTATTAAAATTAATTATAAATGCTGTTTTTTATGAATCCAATAAGAAATGAGGGTACTATATTATTAACTTTCATTGTTTTCATCAATTTATGAATATTGAGATGTTCTTGCCCTGTATGAACTTATGTTGACTATTAAATTTACATCACACAAAAAAAATCATAGAATTATCGTGGATTTAGTATATAATCATATATGGACTACAATAAAGAGTTGACTAAATCGATGAAAAATTGGCAACTAAAATCTCGAATTGGCGGAAAACCCTAATCCGCTAAATAAACCAAAATTGTTACAACCTAATTAACTATAATTACGGGAGTGGGGGGGGGGGGCGCCTGTAATTTGGGATAAACGTGATCCCATTTTGTAATTGACCCCCCAATATAGTCCGCACGTAAATTTCTCTTCATTTTCGGTATTGGAAATTGATTTTAGAGTCATCATGGAGATTTCCATTGCCAAAAATGCTTTTGGGACGAGGATTTGAGGTGGGTTAATATTGTTTGGGTGTGGTTTCTATAAGGTTGCAACCGTAAACTATCCAATAAATGCGCACCTCCAAATTTTATTATAACATATAATTTTTTTGTAAAACATTCTTGGGCTTATATTAAAATATATTTTTATATCTAATTAGAAAATTTCAAACTCCAAAAATGGTTAAAATCCAATCGATCTATAAACATATCAAAATCTTGAAAATGGATGATTTAGATAATGTGTTGCAAGATGCAGTATTTATCGGACTAAAAAACTCTTTTTTTTTTTTTTTCATATTCATACATCTCGATGTTGAGATGATCAATTAGAGGGTTTTTGAACATTAAAACAATGTTTCCGATGGATTTTTGAGGTGCATATGTAATTTTACATTTCAAGGTTGCAACCTTAACAAACTTTGTCCATTTTGTTTATAAAAAGTTCATCGAATGATTGATTCAAACAAATCGAAACCGATTGGAATCACTAATTCAAGGTTCAAATGAATATTCATTTATAAGGTGAACGATCACACCACCAAACCAAATGTTTGAACCAACGATTTAAAATACGGATCGGTGACCCGGATCGGGCATCTCAAAGCCGATCCGGATCGACGAATCAACGATCCGGATTGGGAATCAAGCCAAATCGCTCTGATTAAGCCTTAAAAGAATTTAAAAAAATTATTAAAATTCATTATAAATGTTGTTTTTTATGAATCCAATAAGAAATGAGGGTACTACATTATTAACTTTCATTGTTTTCATCAATTTATGAATATTGAGATGTTCTTTCCTTGTATGAACTTATGATGACTATTAAATTTACATCACACAAAAAAAATCTTAAAATTATCGTGGATTTAGTATATAATCATATATGGACTACAATAAAGAGTTGACTAAATCGATGAAAAATTGGCCACTAAAATCTCGAATTGACGGAAAACGCTAATCCGCTAAAAAAATCCAAATTATTACAACCTAACTAACTATAATTACCGCGGGGGGGGGGGGGGGGCGCCTGTAATTTGGGATAAACGTGATCCCATTTTGTAATTAACCCCCCAATATAGTTTGTACGTAAATTTCTCTTCATTTTCGGTATTGGAAATTGAGTTTAGAGTCATCATGGAGATTTCCATTGCCAAAACTGCTTTTGGGACGAGGATTTGAGGTGGGTTAATTTTGTTTGGGTGTGGTTTTTATAAGGTTGCAACCGTAAACTATCCAATAAAGGCGCACCTCCAAATTTTATTATAACATATAATTTTTTTGTAAAACATTCTTGAGATTATATTAAAATCTATTTTTATATCTAATTAGAAATTTTCAAACTCCAAAAATGGTTAAAATCAAGTCAATCTATAAACATATAAAAATCTTGAAAATGGATGATTTAGATAATGTGTTGCAAGATGCACTATTTATCGGACTAAAAAACTTTTTTTTTTTTTTCATATTCATACATCTCGATGTTGAGATGATCAATTAGAGGGTTTTTTAACATTAAAACTATGTTTCCGATGGATTTTTGAGGTGCATATGTAATTCTACATTTCAAGGTTGCAACCTTAACAATCTTTGTCCATTTTGTTTATAAAAACTTCATAGAATGATTGATTCAAACCAATCGAAACCGATTGGAATCAATAATTCAAGGTTCAAATGAATATTCATTTATAGGGTGAACGATCACACCACCAAACCAAATGTTTGAACCAAGGGTTTAAAAAATGGATCGGTGACTCGGATCGGGCATCTCAAAAACCGATCCGGATCGGCGAATCAGCGATCCGGATCGGGAATCGAGTCGAATCATTCTGATTAAGCTTTAAAAAAATTCAAAAAAATTATGAAAATTAATTATAAATGCCGTTTTTTATGAATCCAATAAGAAATGAGGGTACTACATTATTAACTTTCATTGTTTTCATCAATTTATGAATATTAAGATGTTCTTTCCCTGTATGAACTTATGATGACTATTAAATTTACATCACACAAAAAAAATCATAGAATTATCGTGGATTTAGTATATAATAATATATGGACTACAATAAAGAGTTGACCAAATCGATGAAAAATTGGCCACGAAAATCTCGAATTGACGAAAACCCTAATCCGCTAAAAAAACCCAAATTATTACAACCTAACTAACTATAATATTATATACCAACAATGTTTTATAATTATTTTATTATATAAATAATAACAAATCCAAAATATTTTATAATATCATCTAATTTAAAATGTATTATTGATAACTGTAAGAAAAATAGTACACTACATGATTTATAATACAAAAATTAATAAATAAAATAAAAGATTTTTTTATCAATGTAGAAATTATTAGAATGCGTATCAATTTTCTTTAATTTTTTAGGTTTCTAGAATAAATTAGTGGAAGAGATTGTTAGTAGAAAAGAGATATTTCAAATGGCCTCATTGTAAGAATCCTATCTTTAAATTAATATTACTAAATTTATGTTAAAGACCATCATGTTATAAAAATAAAAAATATAATTAGACCATTTATTCCTAGGTTTTATGAAGAAATACCTTTTATTTTTTTGACAAGAAATACTTATTGTGTTATCTTTTATTTTTTTTTACAAGAAAAATATGATACTTGTTGATTATCTTTGTTTTTTTCTTTGACAAAAGAAGAAGATGTTGTACTACATTTTTTTTTTGCTTATTGTATTAATTTTTTTTTTTTTTACAAGAAAAATAAAAAAATGAAGCTGCCAAAATATATTTTATTTTTTTATGCCTTTTGTTTTATTTTTTTTGTAAGAAATACTTGTTATATTACCTTATATTTTTTTTAAAAGAAAAATAAAAAAGTGTTGTATTATCTTTTTTATCTTTATCTTGAAAAGCCTTTTATTTTTTATTTTTTTAAATTTTTTACAAAAGTATTTTCTGCCTTTGTTTATTTTTTTGACAACAAATTGTATTTTTTTTACAAGAAAAATAAAAAAATATTGTATCATCTTTTTTATCTTTATCTTGAAAAGCTTTTTATTTTATATTTTTTCTATTTTTTTACAACAATATTTTCTGCCTTTGTTTATTTTTTTTTACGACAAAATTTTTTTTTGTATTTTTTTGTTGTGCGCTAAGGGGTTCGAACTAAAAAAAAAATAAATTTTGTTGTACGCTAAGGGGTTCAAACTCAAAATATTTTTTGGTGTTCGCTATGGGGTTCTAACTCAAGACATACACTGTAAAATCGGTGTTGTCAATCTATACAACCACATCACCACATGTAATTCTAATAGCATCTATAATAATATATATTCTATCATCTTGCTTTAATGATTTTTTATGGAAATTATCCCACATCGAAAGATGAGTGTTGTTTGGTTCTTTATAAAGTCATGTGTCATTGACACTCACTTGCGTGTATAGAAGCGCGAGGGAGGCAAACATGAGGTGAGTTACCACGTATAGCCACATGTCACTCTCGTGAGGCGGTGACATGCCTCAAACGAGGGACTGTCACATGTAAATCTAAAAAATATAGATTTTTTCGTTGAGACTGGACACGGACGATTTTCGATTTTTTCGTGAAACCGGCTCGATAGCATATGATTTTCGAATCGAATCGGGTGAGTCCGGCCCCATTATACGAGTTTGAACCGTTCGTTGCACTTCCTTTGAACCGTTCGTTGCACTTCCTTCGTCATTTCATTCAACGAAATAAATTATTATTTAATGACGGAAACATCTAGACCTGCACGAAATTGACCAAATGAGCTTCTTAATTTCATTATGCCTATTTGCGCTGAATATTCAGCTGTCCAATCAAAATAGAGACACGCCATAAGCACAGCCATTTGTCCTTTTCCTGTGATGCCTAACATTAAATAAGATAAAGGGCAGTTTAGTCACTTTTCATTCAACATATTTACTAAAAGTATGGCAAATTGATGTATAACGGCTAAGTTGATTGATGCATGGCAAACTGATGCAAATTGATGTATAAAAAACGGCTCAGTTTTTAAAGAGAGAATTGCAATGAATTTCAAATCTTGGACCCATCGCATGGTTTAAGACAATTGACAAAATGCCAATTCTTGGCTGATAATTCCACCAGTCCTTTTTCTTGGTTCTTTCAAAATTCAGTACCTCCTGTCTCTCTCTCCCTCTGTACAAAATTTAGTACCTCATCTCTCTCTCTCTCTCTCTCTCGCTCTATATATATATATATATATATA